ATCAGTAAAACATAATTTATTTAATTATTTAATTTATTCTGATCAGTTAAACAGAATTATTTAATTATTTAATTTATTCTGATCAGTTAAACATGGCCGTCGACTGTTCTGAGGCCCCAGCACAGGTTCTAAAAGTTTTGAGGTTTTATGTAAATAAAGAGCTAAAACATTTTAATTGTTGTCAGACTTCATGAACTCATCTTTAACTTAATAATAATAAAAATAATAATTGTAATAATAATAATGATGATAATAGTAATAATAATAATGATAATAATAAAATCAGACTCTGTTGTTCAAACTCCAAACGTTAAAGCGTTCATTCTTCTCTGAACACGGGCTCATGTTTCAGCTCATACATCAGCCGAAGAGTGGCGCCTGCAGTCGGACACTAAGCAACATTTCTGAACTAAGTTGAAGCCCGGCGGTCAGAACGGGCGGTCAGAACCGGACCTGTGAAGTGTTCGGTGAACTCCTGCTCCAGCTTGGCAGCTCTGTCGAAGGTTTTGCGGCCCTGCTCCTCCGTCAGACGTTTGTTCATCTCCCTGCAGGAAGAAGAAGCAGCGCGTCACACACTGAAGGGAGGCGGAGCTGCGCAGGGGAGGCGGAGCTTCACTCACATGATGTTCTCCACAGATTTGGGTTTGATGAAGATGGCGACAGGATGAAGCTGAGCCAGCTGCAGCCGCTTGATGGCGTTTCCTGAAACATCCAGGATGCAGTGCTTCCCCTGAACGCAACACGACACAAACATGAGCCTGCTGGTGTACGCAACAAAGAGCCCCTTCAGACCGGGTCTCTGGGTTCTGGTACCGGTACCTTCTCGGCCACCTGGCGGACCGACTGCACGCTGGTTCCGTACAGGTGGTTGTTGTACTGGCCCGCCTCGATGAACTTGTGTTCCTGGATGTCCTTCTCCATCTGCTCCCTGGACACCACGAAGTGATAGTCCCTGCCGTCCACCTCATAGTCCCGCTTCGGTCGGGTCGTGTCTGAACAGAACCACAACAGAACCTCATCCTGATCCGAGCAGAACCACAACAGAACCTCGTCCTGATCCCAACTACTCAAACGTGGACTAAAGGTTGTTTGTTGGACCTACGTGGGACGCAGGAGCCGAATTTATCTGGGAACTCTGAGATCAGGTCGTCGTTGATCCGGTCCTTCATCGGGCCGAGGATGATGACGGGCCGGGCGTAGCTCACTGTCAGAGAGGAGGGAACCGGGTCAGAACCCAACAGACAGGAAGTGATGTCATCACAGACTTGGCACAGGTTCATTGTGTGTTTGGATTTTATTTAGATTAAAAACGAGGCAGTTAAAGATTAAATGACATCATCAGTCTGAACAAACTAAATCTATTTTTTAATCAAACTGAATTTTATAAATTAATTTAACCTCCTAAAGTTCTTTAGATCTTCAAAATAAAGTAACCTAAAAGAACTCTTTAAGACATCTCACCTTCCTGCTGAACAACGGGTTCATACGACAGAACGTACTCCTCCTGCCCGCCTGAGAACAGAGGTCAAAGGTCAGGTTAATGACATCATCTGAAGGAGGGTGTGGAGCGAGGGTGAAGAGTGAGGAGGAGCAGAAACAAAAGGATGAGATGAGAAATATGAGATTTAGGTCTTAGTCAAAACTGACTTCCTGTGACCTTTGAACTCTAAAAACGTCTGTAAATGAACAGGAAGCTGAGCAGAAACTCGTTTCCTGTTTGTTCAAACTGCTCACTTTAGAGATTAATGTTTTTGACTCATTTATTAAAAATAAACTAGGTCCGCTTTGGCAAAAATACTCGAAATCCAGGTAACTCATTTTAACTCACATTTAACTCCTGATAACTATTGTTTAACTCCTGTTCAA